GGCAGGGTTCTTGTAACTCCCTTTGTGGCAAGGCCTTTCCTTTTCTGAAGTGGGCTGTGAACACTGTCAACCAATGTTTCCCTGTAACCTGTGCTGTTATGTGGCCACTCAGGAGAAAGTCAAATGCTGCCCCACTGATGAGAGCAGCACTCACAGCTATGGGTTTTGTTTCTACTGGTGGTGCACGTGATGCACATAAAATTATTCTGCATGTGGAGGTAAAAAAATTCACACATGAATAGAAATGATTAGAAGGAACATTGCTTTTAACTGATTTTGTTTTTCTAGAACAGGGCCTAGAAATGCTGCATGAATCCCAACCATTAAATGCAAAAATGTAGCAAAGAGGTGCAGCTGATCATCTGCCTGGGTGTGTTAATTAAAAAGAAACAGGCAGTGCTCCTTCAAGTGTCTCAGCCACGTACCATCACGATATAGAAAGTACAAGGTCAGGCCTGGGAGCTTTCAGAAAGTAGCCAACTGAGTCACTGTGGGTGATGGTGGCAAGATTCCCCAGAGCATTTGCAGCCACAGGATCTTGAATCCAAACTTAATTTCTTCTCTCTCTCTCTGCCTTAGAACTTTTTCAGGTGATTTTTAGACCCACTTTCGGCCCAGTCTTTGGACTGGATATCCACACAGCGAACAGTGCCAACCAGCCCTAGCCTGATACTGCTTCATTTTAATGTGGTCAGAGCTCTTCCTGTCTCTGGGCAACGTGAGAGCCACGTGATGATGATTCAGCTCTGAAGGGTTCCAACACACCCTGCCGACAGAGCACAGAATTGTGGGTTTGGTAGCTATTATGAGCACAGGTTTATTAGTATTGTGCTGTGGGACCCAGCCAGGGTAATGAAAAGAGAGTTCCTGCATTAGAAAGGTCATCAACTGAGGTAGTGGCAACACAAAACAGGTGTATGGAACAGACAAACAGGAGCAGGCATGCGGGGGACAGAATAAAAGGCGGATGCTTTTGCAATATAAACAGCAGCTTCTGCTTGCTTTGGCATTCCCTGCTAGTGGTGTTTACAGCACAGGAAGAATTTGAAGGATAAAGTAACATGTCTACCAGTTTTGGAGGGGAATATCTTTATTTCCTTCCTTCGCAATGCTTACTGTGGGAGGAGTGGGCAGTAAAGATAGGCCTTTCCCCTAAAGAGGAAGTGGTGTCAGAGGGATGGATGGAAAGTGGAGCACCGGTGGTGGGGGAACTTTAAGGGAAATAGACCTCCAGGCAGTTCAGTAGTTCCCAAACTTCCAACCTCACAAGTCACTTTTGCTGGAAATTCTTAGCTGTAACCTGAAGGGGAGGTGCAGAGAAGAAACATCACGTGATAGATACCAGTCTCCTTGGCACAGATATGCAAAGATATGTAGCCTCCTAACTTCCATTGACTTCAACGGAACCCTAAGTACCGTGTTGGCTCTGGTCCTTGTTAACTCTGCACTGTGCTCTGACACTACAGTCGTAGGCATGGTACCAGAGGCAGTGCAGAATAGCGAGGAGATGCTGGGCCAGCACTGTGAGTGAGTTCATACTTCTTTTAAAGTAATGAAGAGACAGTGATAAAAGGGAAGAGAGAGAGAAGAATACATCAGGGACGGGGGCATGAGCATTTAGGAGAAATCCCAAGCTTATACATTTTTTTTAAATTAAACCACCATTCTGGATGTTGTTGATGACTGGTAATGGGGACATGGTTTTAGGAGGCATGGGCTCCAGCTGGGACCTGTGACGTGCCATCGTTGCTTCAGATGGTGGTTGGGTGACCCATGAAAGGAATTGTTGACTTCTGTCCAATTTTCCCCAGAGGCCAGTGTAAGGGTGGCAGGGAGAAGCACAATCACCTTTTCTGCTAAAAGCAGAGGGGATCTTCCCTTCTCTTCCTGGCTTAGGCAAGCAGCTCTTCCCTGGCATCTCTGCAGGCTCTCTTTAACCAGTGCAATGAGAATTCCCTCTCAAGTTTCAGTCTACTCTAATTAATGGGTGCAGCCCCAAAATCCATTCCAAATGGTACCTTCCGGAACAGCCTTCCAAAGAAGCCAGAGATTGAATAGGTCTGGAATAAGATCTCTCTTCTTCTGCATCCCTCCAGTGGTCCTTGTAAGCTGTGTGCTTAGGACATTATTAGCTGATGAGCAGACCAGCATGTGTTTCAACTGGTGGTGCACACCCATACATGCCTTGGTGCACATAACTAAATGTATTCCACACATGGATGGAAAAAAATCAGAGGAAGCACTGGTCCCTCCCACGCAGAGCTTAGGTGTGCTAGCTGAGGCTGGCAGAGGGGAAGCTTGCCCTGCAGCTGCTGGCACTCATCTGTTCTACAGCTAAACAGCATCCCAAGGTGGCGAGTGGATCCACCATGAAAATCAGAAGCAAGAAAATTTTAGAATAAATTAATGGAATTCAGCTGCATCAGAGAGATTTTTCCTGCTATTTTGAATCCCAAATGACAGATGAAAGTGCTGCTCTAGGACTGCTAGTCTGTGTGAGCCTGCTAGAGGGGAAAGCTCGACAGACCCTCTAGGCTGAAGCAGGGGTGAACTAGCCCAGCAGTTTTTGTTCTCAGACCAGATCTCCTCTAAAGTTTGAGAACAAAGTGAGAGAAATGCATCCCCCTTATTAAGTGAAATTTTAGTGACAGATTTGCCAAGTAATTGACTATTGGCAGCAGGTGCATGTACTCTGCTTGGAGAACTACGAGGTAGAGGATTTTACCCATATGAGATGGCATAATTTACCTCCTGCAGTGGGTCTAGCTGTTACCTGAAAGGGTATGTAGTAATAATCCAGTGATAGCAAATGAATAAATTGTTGCTTCAGAGGAGAAGGCAGGAGAACAAACCCCTCCCTGGTGCTACACCATTTATTTAAGATGGAGCTAAAAATTGGAGTCTGTCATGATGGGGAGAGCGAAGAGTAGCTGTTCTGATTCCCCTCAGCAAGGGGCGTTTGTACACACAAGTCTCTTCTTCCGGGTGTTCTTCCCTCTGAAAAGTGCTGTGTGTGTACAAAATTCTGTTCATACACGCAGTGCAAATCTTTTGCCTCAACTTGCAGTTTAGGGCCAGAAGGGACCATCAGGTCATCTAGTCTGAGCTCCTATATATCACAGGCCATTAAATGTCACCCATTTACCGCCATATCAAGTCTTGAGACCTGTGTAGACCACCCCTTCGTCAATCTTTTGGTACATAGGCATGTCTGGGGTAGAAAGGTTCCTCCCCCCCCTCACCCCATGCTTTCTTGTGTAGAAAGCTGGCTAAAAAGAGATTTTGCTGAATTCTCCAGAAAACCCAGAGCAGCCTCTGTGGGGTTAAAAACATTTCCCAAGCAAATCTTGGAAATTATGGAATGGAAGTGATTTTATGTTATGACACTTAAGATGCTCTACATTTCTGCAGACCTTGCCAGTTCTTTGCTTTAGCTATTGGGCTGTAGAACTGATACCCTTCATGGTTGCTGCATAAGCAGAGCTGAGGGACTTTCAAAGAAGTGCTGGCGCCCGCTGCCTGGTAGTGGTGTTGGTTTTACATGCATTGATTAATGGCCCCTGGCTAACCAGCAGTCTGTTTTGGACATTTGTGCTTTAGGGTCTGTGGCTACACCCCATCCAGCCCCCTTTTAAGCATGTTGCAGCAGCCAGCAAGCACTTTCAGACTGAGGATGTTGCAAGATCCATACTGATTGCAGCAGCCCCCTTCCTCACCTGTACAAGTCTGGGGTCATAGAGATCTTAAATACCAGAGACAATGCAGTCATAACCTGTAAGTGTTTTGGCTAACTGAGGTGTCTTTCTAAACCTTTGAGGTAGTAGAGATGGAAGATGCCCCAAAATGGCAGGCATAGCTACTCTATCAAGGCGCACTTGAAGCCAGCGTATTGACACTAATATCAGTTTCCTACTGTACATCATTCAAAATGGTGTAGCAACCACCAACCTCAAGTTGCCTTCACGGTTTCCAGGTATCAAACTGCACAAGCAGACCTTGAATGTAGGCTTGGAACCTGGTTACCCAGATTTTCGTCCTGTGATTATGTACTACGCTAATCAAGATCAGTAGGGACTGAAGTGGAGTTTCCTCAATAAACATATGAGAGAGCTGCTTGTAAGGTACTCCAAGGACCTTCTATTTTGAATCCCACCACATCATCTGTTGAAGCCCAGATTTCAATCTTCCAAATATGTGGCAAAGTTTCTCTCTTCTCTCTCTCTCAATAAATCTGCTGAGGACGGTGTCATTTGAGATAGATATGTTTATGGGTGCAGGGTTGTCTGTTTATATTGTGACAGACCCAAGACTCTGTTACAAACTGAAAATTGTAAATTCCACTGCGGTAAGAATGGGGTTTAGAAACTCTGTAGTTTACAGGGCCTGCAAAATATCCAGAGGTGAAAGTAAGTGGGTGTGCCCAGGTGCTCTGACACGAGCTGACTGAGCTATACCAAAAGCCAGCCGGGAGCTATTTAAAGAGCAGGCAGGGACCCAAGTTGCAATAGGACAGTACCTATAAGAAATTTTAAGTTACTTTCTCTGCTGAAAATATTCTAAGTAAGCTGTACCATTGGGGGGGGGAAGAGGGAAGAACCTAAATTTTAGACCCCAGAAATGTAAACTTAGTCTTTCTGCTAGTTTTCAGCACAGAGGACATTTGAAATGATTAGGCAGAGCTGGGTTTGAACTATGAGAGGCTAAAATACTTGTAAAAATGTGGTGGGTTTTTTTTACTTTTTGAAAAATCTCAGAACTGATTGATTTCTCTGCCTCTTTACCTAAAACTAAGCCTGGAAGGCCAAGGAGAAGTGTGTGTAGTTTCTTGCAAGAGTTACGCAGGGTGCAAGCAAAAAAAATGTGGACTCGAGGAAAATTTTCACGCAGCCCTCTCTCAATCTAGAGAGCAGCTTCTGCTGCTGCACAATCTGGAGACTTAAAATGTGTCACTGGTGTTGATCCTGCAGTGTGTGTGTGTGTGTGGGGGGACACCTCCCGAGAGGGGCTGAGCATCCTCAACCCCCACTGAAGTGAATTGAAACTGAGGATATTTGGCATCTTTATGCAGGTGGGAGGCATGCGGCAGGGTGGTGCCCAGGAAAGGCCTCATTAATACTAGCAGGCCTTCCTCTTACGAGAGACTCTCCAATAACAGACTGCATGCACTGGCGTAGAGCTCACCAGTGATCCTGCAGGAACACTCCAGAGTGCATGTGCACAGGGGAAGGGGAAACACAGTAGGAAATCCTATGTCTGTTCCAAGGGGCTGTTGTAAAGTACTGTTAAATAGTGACAGATCCCTGAGAGTGGACTGACAGACAAATAAAAGCTCCCTTGGGAGAGCCGGGCTGGGATTTGTATAGTTTCTTGACCCTTTTAGGCACTCCAGATGCTTGGGGTTATCAAACCTCCCGGATTGACCTGCAGTCTCCTGGAATTGGCATCAGGCGCTTGGTGACTGTTGAACTCAATCCTGGATATTTGAATGGGTTATTTTAAGAAAATGACATAGTCATGTTGTGAGGAAAAAAAGATTTCCTGGAACAGCATCAGAGTTGGCGACCCTTGATGGCACCGGCAGGGCTGCAGACTGTTAATCTATAGGCATCCCACCTAAGGTAAGAATAACTTCTCCAAAGGGCTCTTTCTGTGATGCTGCCAGTGCCAGGTATTCACTTTTTTCCCCTCTCTCTTCCAGTTGAGCAGAGCCCCTGAGCCCCAAGCTCTGCAAGGCCAGGATGACGTCTATAATGTAAGTGCCGGCTGTTCTTATGTCCATGACTTTTTGTTTTAATCTGCTCATCTGGTCATGCTCTTTCCTCTCCTCCAGCTGTCTCTGAATGAGGTGGCTTTCTTCTGGCCTGACAGATTTCAGGATGGGCTGGATGAGGCAGACGCAGGAGGAACGATCACAAGTGGGTTTTGTAGTAGCTACAAGGGGAAGTGGCTAATGACTCACTTTGGGGAAAACTTCCTTCTCACTCACCAATAGAACACGAGGACTGTGGTTTAATACTTGACACTAGTAACATGCAGGAGGTGCACCAAGCATCCAGTATAGGTCCGGTGCTCTCCAGTTGGCAGATGAAGCTGATCCAATATGTGCACAGGAACTGGTGTGTGGGTCACAGAGTGTTGTCTGAGAGTCCATGAAACACACGTGCCTCTCTGCCTATGCTTTCTTCTACAGCAAGCCTGCCCCTGAAGTACTACCTCACACTGAGTTGCATATACTTATTTGAGTAGCCCCATCTAAGCTGCCTGTCTCTCTTTGCAGTTCCATGTGGTAGGGTTAGAGAATGGATATCTGGAATGCAGCATTTTAAGGGTCTCAGATGAACTCTTCCCAGATTGCAACATTCAAGCAACAGTTAATATTGTGGGTTGCTGGAAAGGAAATTGACATAGATGGTCTGTGACGTACCAAGCCTGACCACTATGCTTATAGAAAGCACTACTGCCTGTCTCTCTTTGCAGTTCCATGTGGTAGGGTTAGAGAATGGATATCTGGAATGCAGCATTTTAAGGGTCTCAGATGAACTCTTCCCAGATTGCAACATTCAAGCAACAGTTAATATTGTGGGTTGCTGGAAAGGAAATTGACATAGATGGTCTGTGACGTACCAAGCCTGACCACTATGCTTATAGAAAGCACTACGTTTTTTTTAATTTTTATATATATATATATATATATATAGTAGCCCAATGTCTGAGACTCTAATGCTGTAGCGTTACAAGTTGCCTCTAGGGGGCGTTGTTACCTCCCGCCGTGGCGCTCGGGTGACTTCTGCACCGCTCAGCCGAGTGCCACGCTGGTCAGAGGTGGCAGTCGGGGACAGCGAGTCTGGCCGTGGGAGATCAGGAGGAGGAACTGGCTGGCGGGGAGAGGGAATCGGCCGGCGGGTAGCCAGACTCACCTGGGCATGTGCAGATCCCAGGGTGCTGCCCACGCCCCACTCATGGTCCCAGCAAAGCAAGTCCAACTATGGCTCCAGGAGCAGGGACAGAGGCAACTAGAGGCTCCCAGTGCCAATTGCACCCCACCTCCCAGCCACTCCTCTGCCCCCACCAGGCTTCCGTCTGGCACCCAGCTGGAGAACCAGAAAATACTGGACATTGTACATGTCTGGTATTTTCTGATTTTTTTTTTAATGGACAGGGCCCAAAAACTGGACTATCTGGTAGAAAACCGGACACCTGGCAACCCCATACATCACCGCCCCGCCCTACCCTTCACCTCCTGCTGTGGCACTCAGCCGGGCTGCCGCAGAGGAGTCCAAATGGCCGCTTGCTGCCTGCAGCGGCCCGAAGCGAAGGGGGGCGGGGCAGTGACGTGTGGTGTGACAGTGGCTCCAGGCCCCGCCTCCTGGCCGTGAACGTCACTGCCCCACCCCCTTTGCCAAGTGCCATGGCGGGAGGCGATGTACACGCCCAGGGGGTGGGGCCTAGACGAGAGTGCATCCCCAACGGAGACAGAGGAGAGTGGAGAGATAGTGAGAGGCAGGAGGGGGAGAAGAGACAGAGAGAGTGGCAGAAGGCGGAGGAGAGATGAGAGACAGAGGGAGAGGCAATAGGAGGAGGAGGGGAGAGAGAGAGAGAGCGACTGGAGGCTCAGGAGAGAAGATGGATGTGGAGGAGAGACCTGAAAATCCCATCTTATGATGGGCTAATTGGCTAGTTTGTAATAATGATGGCACGGTATTTGGAGCTGTTATACAGTATTATGTATTTTTTACAAATAAGTGTCTTTAAAAATGCCACAGTTTCTCAATGTGCTATTCATCTCCTGGCACGAATTGTAGATTTGCTAGAATTTTATTATTTTACCTTCAGAAATGTGGTTGGGTTTAATAAACTAATACGCTTACACTAACTTTTACCTGTTCCTCAGCTAAGAGGTTGGCTAATGCCGAGGGATCAGTTTAGTTCTACACATTTGTACCCTGTTGCTTTCTATCTCTTTGCTGATAGCTTTTTGAGGGATAGTATGGTATAGCACAGTGATATGATTATCTTCCATTTCAGCATGACAAGGCACAAGTACAATAAACTCCTGGGAAGGGGAAGAAAGAGATTCTCACACCACGTATGCTTAATTAACAAGAATTCATGCATCAGCCCTAGAAAAAGGACATGCTTGTAGTGGTGTTTTAATTGCCTCTTAGACTTGGTGAGATCAGAGTAAGCGCAAGATCCTACTGGCCAGCGATGGAAATTCATCAATTTCCTGCAGTTCCAGACAGGATCCATAGAAACTAGAGGTTTCATGGCCTGCTGGACACCGGCTATATCTTTAAATATCCCCTAGAGTTAAGAATTGGGGTTGGATTTTTATTTGACCCTGGCAGCTATCAGGGGCTGAATTTGATCCAGCTTTATAAAGCAAACCGTGGAAACCTCATTCCACCTTGTTTGTTGGCCTGCTGGCCTCGCTGGGCCCCTGCTCTCCCACATTCTTGCTATGTGCAGGGCTCCCATGCACTGCCCGTTTTTGAATGAGGCATCCACAAATCTTTTCCCACACCTATCTCCCCAGGTATCTGGGACTTTAAGGGCTAGTAATTGATTTGACCCTCTTTCCCCATTGAGAAGCAGCAGCTGCAATTTCTGCTCCTGCTGAGGGTGTGCTGCACAGGAACTGCATCTCTGAAAACCTTGGCGCTGTTCCTTAGGTGGCTCCACTCTAAAGAGCCTGGGAAATGTAGGGCATGTGGATCTTACTCCAAGACGGGGTGAGTGTGGAATCTAGCAGGGGGGACCCGGGCAAGATCAGAGCTTAGAGCCCTGAATTAGCAACTGTCCATTTCCAGGTTTTTTGATTTGGTGGAAGATGGGGAAGGATCAGACATGCAGAATCTGAGCGCCACTGGAAGATTCACTCACAAGCCCCACTTTTGTCTCATCTGGCGCATGAGTCACCATAGCGCCATTGGCCTTGTGACTTGCTGTGTAACCTTACACCATGGGAAGTGAAAGACTGGATCAAACCCCTGGTCCTTCTTGTCCAATATCCTGTCTCTTGTAGTGGCCAGTACCAGATGCTGCAGCAAATAATGCAAACTGCTCCACTGTGGGCAGATGTGAGAATCATCATGAAGTGTTTGCTTAATGCCTGATGGCTTGAGATCAGGTTAAGATTTGAAGGCTGATGGTGTTGTATCCCTTCCAATAATCTTTGTAGCATTAATTATTAATCTCAGGATGGTCTTATCCATGTAAGTGTAGTCACTTTGAATTTTGCCAAATTCTTGATCTCAAACGTCTTGTGACCACGAGACCATCTGACTGTTGAATAAGTAAAAAAGTATTTTTTTTCCTCTTTTGAATTTGCCGTCTTTTCAAGTCCATTGCCTGCCCCTCATTCTTGTGGTATGCGTTGGTGAGAAAAGAAGGACCCAATCTGCTCTTTTATATCATGCCTTATTTTAGGTACTTTATAAAGAGTAGACAAATATGAGGGGGCCGTGATAAAAGTAAATAATCTCAGTCAAAAATGATCTCAGGCAGAGGGTTTCCTGAGTTTACTGAAAGCAGTCAAGACTTTTTAAAGGGCAAAAAAACCAATGGTGTAATGTCATGGCTGCTGTAGCTATGGCATCAGTGTATCATCTGCTAAATACAATGAGATCTAGTCCAGCCATGAAATCCTATTTCAACTGACTGTGATTTGCCTTTTGCTCTGGGGGCGTAGCTGTGGGGCCAGCAGATCTGAATTCTAATGGATATACTAGCAGCAAGCAGGGAGGCTGCTGCATACGCCCTAGATCATCAGTATTGATTATATTTCTTTTAAAACTACTTTTTTGGCTTATCTATCAGTTATAACTTGTACAGTAAATTGGAAGTTGAACTGGAATTCACTTCTGCTGCTAACTAAGCCCAGCTCTCAGTTGCTCATTAGCACAGTCTCTGTCACTCTGACTTTTTGCTTTTTCATTGCAGAAATTGTCTCGCACAGCCAGAGATGAATATGATGTTCTGGGAAATAAAAAGAGAGGCTCTGATGTTGAAAAGGGAGGGAGAAATCAGGTAACTTCCCCGCAGCTGCACTCTTGTTTAACTTTGCTTCTTTGTAATCCTGCTCCCGCACAAAAGGAATGTGCAGGTAGCCAGTCACACAATGTCCTGGCTAGTGTGTACGGGACACCCGTATCCTCTGGGGCTTCTACACTGTCCCTCAGGATGTGTCCACAACTTGGGTAGATGCCTTAATCTTCAGTAACTGGGGTTAAGCATTGTTTTGAGCTCAGGTGAGGGCTGAAAGCTTTAACCTTAAGCAGGCTTTTGTAATTGGTTAGCGGCGACGGTGTGGCTAGAGCTGAGGGCTGCTGGAAAGAGGCAGTGCAATATAAGGGCAAAATAAATAAATTGACTTGGTTGAGGAAATCCTGCCCTATTATGATCACCTTGTGATGAGGGTCCCGCGTACCTGTAGCCATGCTGGGCTTAGGGCGCAACACATTTCACCTAACCCCCTGAAAACATTTCTTGGCACAGCTATGTTGGTGATAAGGGTGTATGTGTTTTGTGCTAGTGTCAACCCTTCTGCAGACAACACTACTAGCAAAACGGCTCACGTGGCACTCTATATTTGTTCAGGGAGCTGCAGTTTTGCAGCAACCTATGTCCATTCTATGAGGGCCTTGCTTTTTTGAATTTAATTACCTCCCTAACACAGCTGTATCAGCAAAAAATTTTAGTTTAGTTTACACTGTTCATGTCTCTCGCAAGCCAAGGGATGACCGTGGGTGGAGCCAGAAGTGTCCTAGCAAAGCGCATGGGTGGAGTCTTCAATATGCAGACTGTAAAATCTTCACCCCTGCACTTTTCTTAATAGCTCACAGCAGCCCGGAATAGGAAATCACACGTTATCTCTAAGCTGAGGATGTAGAGGCAGGGCCTGAGTATTTCGTTGAAGGGCTTTGTGACAGGTTAGCAAGTGCCAGTGAAGTAACATAAAAATCCAGTGTTTAAAAGTCCGAGGGGGAGCTGTGTTAGTTACTAACTGAAAAATCTAGAGACTAACAAAAAATGTAGATGGTATCATGAGCTTTCATGATATGACCCACTTCGTCAGATGAATGGAGCAAGGGGTCCAGAGGTACAAATAAACAGCAGAAAAAGAGGAAAGAGGGAAAG